TTTGGAAGGGCTAAATGTAAGACGGGCCTGCGTGCCCAATGTATGACCATTCGAAAATAAAGTTCGTTCGTTCGTTACTTCGTTCGCTCCCTCTCTCTCCCTCCCTCCCTCTCTCTCTCTCTCTCTCTCTCTCTCTCTCTCTCTCTCACACACACACACTCTCTCTCTCTCTCTCTCTCTCTCTCTCTCTCTCTCTCTCTCTATGTTTTCTTTTATTTTCTCACTTTCTTTCCACACTTAAGCTCGCTATATTTAATATCGTATGTTTGTACACCTAACTTAACACATGTGTCTTCCCCTACAGATGTACTGACACAATTTCTTCAAGACTGTTTTCCTGCTAATTATGTAAGTTTTGTTTTTCAGGGAGATATATGCCGAATTTAGGAAATACCCGACGAACATCCTGTGTAAACGGTGTGATGCAATTAAAAATCGTAAATATAATGCTGCTTGCAAAAAATACTGCGCCGAACAGAAGACGAAAGCCGAGAAAACAGTTAAGTTATATTTTAAAGTACAGTAAAACTTCGCATAAGCGCCCTTAAGGCGAACACTAAGTTAACAGTAATGTAATTTTTGACCAACCCAAAATATATTATTGTTAATGCATATATTAGAGGATGGTTAGCTCTTATTGTTTTAACACGAATTCCTGATTTTTGGGTAGCTTGGAATTCGAGTAGCTTGGTATTCGAGTTAACCAAATTCGACTATTTTTCCATCTAGTGAATAGTGTTGACTCTTGTTTGCCTCACTGATATCCTGCGGTAGGATTATCTCTACCATTGGTTACTAACATACTCAATATGTGAAGCATATGGTGACCTTTGTATTTCATGTGTTTAGAGGCTACGGATTCTCCTCGATAAGAGTGTTAACAAAATAGTGCAACAGTCTGTACCGGTCAATATACCTAAACCTATATTGCTGGTGACTATTTAGTATATGGTCTTTTACCATCGCGGACGTTTATCATTCGCAAAGTAAACCAGATCGCTGGTGTTTTCTGTAGTCAACGGAAAAAAAAAATATATGAATCTCAGATTGTTCTTCCAGTATTTTTCATAACAATTATTTAGGCTATTTTACAATGAAATCGAAATGCTTCACCTGTTTCTCGGTTAAAAGTCTTGCTGTCACTGACATTAGTGTAAGACCAACTCATCAATGTAAAACCAACTCATCAGTGTGAGACCAACTCATCAGTGTAACACCAACTCATCGATGTAAAACCAGCTCATTATTGCAGACCAACTCATCAGTGTAAGACCAACTCATTAATCTGAGACCAACTCATCAGTGTAAGACCAACTCAACAGAGTAAGACCAAATCATCAATGTAAAACTAACTCATCAATGTAAGACCAACACATCAATGTAAGACCAACTCATCAATGTAAGACCAATTCATCAGCGTAGGACCAATTTATCAGTATAAGACGAACACATCAATGTAATACCAGCTGATTAATGTATTACCAGCTTATCAATATAAGACAAACTCATCAATGTAACACCAACTCATCATTGTCTCGACTACTCATCAATGTAAGACCAACACATCAGAGTAAGGCCAACGTATCAATGTAAGACCAACTCATCAGTGTCATGACAACTCATCCATTTAAAACCAACTCATCAATGTAAGACAAACACATCAATGTAAAACCAACTCATCAATGTCACGACAACTCATCCAGTAAGACTAGCTCATCAATGCAAGACCTAGTCAATAGCGTAAGACCAACTCGTTAATGTAAGACCAGGCTTACCTTGCTTGACGAGAGTATTCACAATTGTATTAAATTATTGTATTTTCGATGCGCAATCGCCAGTGTTCCCTCACTTTCTAGAACAATCTGCGCGCAACGCTATATAAAGAGAACCCCTGGCGGGGCCGATTTAGACTTAAACAGACTTAAAAGGTAGAAGGTAGAGGCAGGTCAGCTGGGGGATTTAGAAATACTCTAGAGTAAGTTTAGAAAGCACAATGGGAGGATGATAGGAGGCTGACAGAATCTTCACTTTGTATTTTTTGATAACTTTAAAGAAACGTTTTCTTGTATTATTTTTTTTTTAGTAGGTTAATTGTTTCAGTATTTTTAGATGTAAACTTTGATTAGATTTGCTTTTGTCATTTTTGTATTTTGTAGTTTAAATCTTAGGTTTCATGATATAGAAAAAAAAAGAAACTAACTAAACTGCAAAGGTTTACTGTAAACTGTAGGTGAGCTGGCATGATGTCATTTGTGACCACCATCTCACCAGTGTAAGACAAACTCATCAATGTAAGCCGGACTCAGCAGTGCGGTGACAACTCATCAGTGTGAGACCAACATATCAGTGTAAGACCAAAGCACAGCACCACGATCAAGAAACAACTTTTCAGTTCTCCAGCCTGGGATCCTTGACGCCCCTTCCTAAACACAGTATGATGAACAGAGTTGAGGACACTTCTGAGGACGAAGGGCCTCAGTCGGACATGGGAGGTTCTTGACTAAATCACTCAGCAAGTCGCGAAAAAAAAAAAAAAGGGACACACATATACTGTTTGCACACTATGTCTGTGTCACAGTCTTTCATCGCTTCCTACTCGTCAAGACTTAGCATAATCCTAACACATTCAGTTAATACTTCTAAAGACATGCAGTCGATACATTAACATAACACAATGTAACACACGATCACAAAAAGCATCTATAATGACACACGTTATGTCTTGATGTTGCTATCTACTATTAAGTGATGACTCGGATCACGTTGTCATTAATTAAGGGAGCCATTCCAACAACGCCATCATAATTTAGGAAATCCACTCAATAGCTAAATCTAATTTTTAAGAGAATTATCAGATATATCATCCTATGCTAACTTTATGAAGAGACAACTATAACTATCATCGCCACATGTCACTAACTTGTTAATGATAGGTACAAATATCACCATGGCACATTTATTTAACAGCAATTTAATTCGCAAACATCTTCGGTCAGATTACCTTTTATCTATAACAAATCCCAAAGGACGTAGATCCCATCATTTGTCAGCGACATACTTCATTATTTAATTAATCTGGCTCGTCGGTTGGGCCGGATAATACTCAACTACCCTCAAACGCACTTAAGACACACACGTACATAATACACACACATTCGTAAATGAACAAATAGCAACTCAACCTAAAGTAATCCTCAACAAATACGGGCGGTCCCTAATCCGAAACGCCGGCCATTGTAGCTTTTACATTTACTAAAACACACTGTGCTGTTCCCATTAATATATAAATACAGAGGGACTCAATTCCACCTCACTGTCGTACAGCGCTAACTAAGCTGCTGTCCTCGCCACGAGAGATTAGATGGCCCATCCAGCTCGAGTGACCCAAATATGAGTGGGCAGTGTTAACGCTACCAACAATGCATGTCAACACTAAATACCTGCTTAACACCCACTGAGTGAAAGCTTCTACTACACAAGTAATACTAAACATAAATAATCTTGTCACAATACCATTTGAAAACCCAAAATAAATAAAGCCTAATTACAAACATTATCCTTGCTAATCGTCACTAATATAAAATACGTTAACCGTCCCTGTCCAACTCGACCAAGCGTCCTATACAATTCTCCTGAACTACCTAAATTCGAGACTTCTGTTGCTATCCAGCGGTTTTTTCTGACACGCTGTCCCTCGAGATTCTCGCCGGGCGCAAGGTCAAGTCCAACTCACCCATACAGTTTACTCCGTGTTCTAACTATCTGATGTTGTCTTGAGTTTTTCCGAGGGTTACTTCGTGCACCCGTGCTGACTCACTATCATCACACCAACTCATCCTGTGACTGAACTTGCCTCTGACATCCTCCAGTCAAATCATTTCCTTGACTGATTATGGTTTCATCTTCTGAAAGACGAACACAAACCGTCTTCAACTGTCGGCAATATTCTGTCGCGCTACATTAAATCTAGTAGTCGGTTAAACAACTTTACAAACACCAGCTACAGTAATCCAGTGAATAAAAGGGGGTCTCAAATCACTGATACAATCGCTAAATCGTATTTCTTTTTGCGCGGACAATTGCTTTATTTGCCCTCCAGTAACCCTGTTTGTCGACTAACCACCCCATAATTTTGTGCTGATACATAGTACGCTTTCTCTTGCAGCGAAGCTTAGCTATTGTAATCTTTTATTAATTCATGCCAGAGGTTTTTTCATCTATCACAGTGTTCCCCCCCCCCCCCCCCCCAACCCGCCCGAGATTTCATTAATATATATAGTCTTCTGCAAAACTGTTCATATCATTAGATTACCGATTTAATTTGCAACCACTTTTAATAAAACTGGAGGATGACAATTTGCTTCGACAAAAAATCAGTCAAGGATTTAGATGATGATGAGATAATAAGTAATTAAGACAGTAACTAAAAAACAAAAAACAAAACTATATCAAAACCACTTAATTAAACACAGTCTAATACCTGACACAATGTATGGCAGATCATAGAAAGGGTAATGAATTAAATGCGCGCACACCATTTTTTTTCTTTTAATGTAGCAGTGAATGTTCTCGCACATACAGATGTTTGTATGTGTGGGTGCGTGTGTGTGAGTGTGTGTGTTTGCGAGCATGCTCGCATGTGTTTGAAAATTATTGTCAAAAAATACTCCTAGTGTTTTAGAATGTATGTTTTCTGATATAGAATGTCTTTAAACAATGACATCATTTCTAATTTCAGAGCATGGCGGGCTAAAGTTATCGTGCTAGAAATGTCACCTTACAGGAACCAATACTGTCAACATAGTGGAAAAGTTACACATAAAGACCTAGGCATTTGACAGTATTTTAATAAAACTCAGCATTAACATGAACATATTGTTATCTGCTTTATATGTTGTAACAATATGTGAGGAAGTTACAAGGTGAATACAGTGCAATCCCATACATCATAAAGTTATGCGGGTGATTCTAGGAAGTACAGTATCGTCGTTTACAAAACCTTAAAAACTGTTGAAAGCCACCCCCTTCCTTCGAGAGGAAAGACCTATTTGGACAAGGTTTTATTCCATAAGGCTCGGTCTCTCTCGGCAGAATGACTCGCTACCTGCTGAGAGCGCCAGAAACAGCAAGAATCCCGTAGTTCCAGCGATGATCCACAGGGATCTCTGTAACAGTTGTACCCATGAACTCAACGGCGTAGCCGTGAAACGAATCCACGTCCTGCAGAGCGTAAGGCGAAACGGCTTGACCTACTTCATCACGGAGACACCCGAGAACATTTGCAGAGGAGAGGAATGGATCAAAATACATATGTATATGGTGCTCATCAGATAGGACTGGGGGTGCAACTATTGGCCAGTGGGCACTGCAGAATAAGAAATTTAAGAATTATTTTATTGCAATTCCTATTCAAATGATATGATTGTCTCTCACATGGCTCTAAGTAGAGACAGAAGACCTGCATTCGGGCTTACTGCAAAAGCAAAATGAAGACGCTCACTGTAGCAACGATTAGCATTTGAGCACCATCTAGCTTGAGATTTGAGGCAGTCATGACAGCGTTCAGATTGAACAATACAATTAGCCTCTTTTGGATAAGTATGTCAAGGAATGCAATCATGTTGGAAACGAAGAGACAGTTTGGCTATTTCAGCACCATTGGGCTGTGAATTGATGCATGCCAAGTTAGTCGTGGTCAATGCTCTTTGCGCGCAGGTGACCAACGCGGGTGCAAGAATAGGTCTTTTCTGTTGTCTGGAAAGACACGAAGAGGGAGGTTTGGTTGACAATCTACATCCATAGGAAATGCGAGATTGACACATAATCACACGGCCACCACTGGAATCTGAGCTTCTTGCTGGCTACTGAAAATGAAGGAGCGACACTTATGGGATGTCTGGAATGCTCCTATGTCACTTCTCGACTGAACACAACTCAGCTCAATGCAATGGAGAAAACGCGTATAGCAGGGTAATTATTATAACGAAACTAATGTTAGAAACAAACATATCAAATACCAGGCAGGAGTGGATATTCGCCAATCACTATTGTTTGCTAACCTGAGACACCTTTGAAAAAGTCATTATTGCAGTCCAAGGTATTCACAACATGTGTCTCACGAACCACATCTCATTTACCTCCATTGCTCACATTCGAAGATTCACTACCACACAACAGAGGAGGCTCGATATGTCATTTGAGTATTCGTTTGCTGATGTTTAATAAAAGTGCCCATAACTTACAAAATTCGATATACTGGTACAAAAACCACTACCCCTTAAGTGGACGAACAACCAGAACTTACCGCTGGAGTTTACAGAAGACGAACACTAGATTTAAAAATGTACTTTTTGAAATAGTACATCATCTTGTGAACACGCAGCCACCAAACATTGGATGATGTTCAGTTTCATTCTGCAAATAAGTCAGTAACTTAATGTACCTAAGCTTCGTAGACGTATATTGTTCTATACGTTTAACTAAATTCTGTAACCACGATGCAGTAAGAAATTCCTTGTTCCTCTGGTGTTGGTCAGTCGGCATAGCCCTCAGAGGGCAGTAGGCTTCAGCAGGTTTCATTTTTTTTTTTTTTTACCTAGAAACCTTGAGTTGTTAACCCTTCTGCTCGGTACTATGGATATCGCAAACCCTCGGCCTTGATTCCGTGATAGATACGTAAATCTGGGAGAAATGTGGCATTTCTGCCTACCCCCGGGCGTGAACCCGAACCAGAAGGAGTTTTCACGTGTTCGCCGCGCAGTCAGGTTTAACCAACAGAGCTAGCGAGACGGGCCCAGGTTTCAAATAAGGTAGTGCTACCGAAAGCTTGAGGGACACGCACTGGCTTTCAACAAGCTATAAGATATTTATTTCATTCAAACTCGCACACTCAGTTCTTCTTGTTCTTAGGCAGTTGTCTGATATTTAAGGTTGTTTAAGGGAACCCAAAGTCTTAAATGTTCCCAAATTGATTCGTAATCGACAGAGAAAATGGAAAGGCGCCCGACTTGGTGAATTGGTAGCAGCGAATAACTACGTTTACATTGTGTATCCCAGTTGCAAAGATACAGAAAAAAAAAAAGTAATGAAAAAAGTTCGCTTAAAATCATACTTCCATTTACAGCTATCCACTAACATTTATTAATTTAAAGTATGAATTTGTTTGTAAAATGTAACATGCGGTTAACTCTTGTGGGACTGATGTTTTTCTGAGGTTGGCCATACAAAGAAGCGAGGACATTCTAAAAGGAACGTTGATGAGAGAGCACAAGTTTGCTGGACTGGATTATATCAATTATATGGATTAGCTTGCACTTGATAAAACAGAGTGGATGAATAGTCAGAGAAGACAAGACAACAAGAGGCATGCTTTGGACTCCATTCACCATGCTTGAGGACCTTAATTTTGCAAATGATATAGCACTCCTATTACATAATCATGAACATATACAAGAGAAAAGTAACAAACTACACAGCACAGCAGAAATGGAGGGACTGAGAATAAATACAAAGAAAACTAAGATCACGACAAGCAGTCCAAACCAACAACCATTGACCATAAACAACCAAACTCTTGAAAGTTTACAACATTTCACATATCTTGGTAGTGTGATGTCCCTACTGAGAGGGACAGAGGAAGACATACAGTCACGCCTCAACAAAGCTAGAGCTGCTTTTTTTCTCAAACACTTAACAAGTCACAAACCAAGAAACTCTAGACTGTATGATAACCAAGAGAAGATGGAAATGGCTTGGCCACGTTATGAGAATGAATCCTGATATGTCTGCCAAAACAGCCCTCACATGGATATCAGAGGGAAAGAGAAAAAAGGGGTGCCCATAAACAACATAGAGACGAATGATGGAGAGTGACCATAATGCGGCATCTTTGACATGGAAAACTGCACTGAAGATTGCACAAGACAGGAGAGCATGAAAAGTCCCATCTAAAGCCTCATGTACCTCTAGGCATAAAGAGAACTGATGATGATGATAATGTAGCGTGTAACGGCACATCAGGACAATGGTGATACATATGTCTATGCATGAATGTATGTATGTATATATATATATATATATATATATATATATATATATATATATATATATATGTGTGTGTGTGTGTAAATATATATATATATATATATATATAAATATATATATATATATATATATATATTTATATATATTTATATATATATATATATATATATATATATATATATATATATATATATATATATATATATATATATATATATATATATATATATGTATATTTTGTTTTCATTTTTTTTTTCTTTCACCGTGTCAGTCGGTGCCTTCTTTAATCTTTATCTTCTGAATTCTACATATTTCACTTTAGGGCCCAGTTATTCGTCACAATGAGAGTAAATTGTAGAAGCTCTCCATGCGAAGGTAATGTTCCGCCAAAACAATTTAGGACACATACACTCATATACGCACACACACATACACACACTCGCAGTCTGTATCATAATCACTCTGTCAGTAACCTGATTTTCGTCATGCAAGGCAATGTCTAAATGTGTCGTTCACATCACAAATGAAAATCCTTGTACAGTTAAAATAACATAATCGCCTATGCTCGCTTTAATATGAGCTGCTCATGATGTGTTAGTACCAGATCAACCACCGATGCATTATACAACCTTTAAATAATCTAACATTTTTGTCCACCAGATTGGTTTTACCAGTAACGGTAACTCACATATAGTATTTCTAAACAAATCAGATAACAAATATAACTGAATAAAAAATGTATAAAGAACAGCTACTAGTTGTCTTTTTCGAAATAGTCCTTGCAACAACAAAAAAACCGATAACTCACTCAATCAGCTGCCTTCTCCACAGTTGGAGTTGGCTGCAATGGATTCCGTATTTTATCTGTTCCTCTTCATGGTTGTACACTCAAGTAGACTCCTTAAATAATCCACCTGATTATTTCGATGCCAACCACTTGCTCCCTTGCCATCGTCGTTTTAATCCCGTATGGTTTTTTAAGTGCTGTGGACATTTAATATGGTGGGAATATTTCACTTGTTCACGTTTGCTCTCTCTCTCTCTCTCTCTCTCTCTCTCTCTCTCTCTCTCTCTCTCTCTCTTGCTCTCTCGCTTTCTCTTCCTCTTTGTTTGTGTACGTCGCAGTGTGCGTGTGTGTGTGTGTGTGTTTTGTTTGTAAATACCTTCGTCAACTTATTTTATTCAGTCTCCCCAAAAATTCAGTATTTGACTGTGTCTGTGTCTATAATATACCACACATGTTACTCTATTATCACTTCTCCAGACACACAGATCTATTTTCTACTTCTTTGATCAACGTCTGTGGCTTAAGCGTTGCGAACGCGCTACGTAATGCTGGGGTGCCGGTTTCGATCCTAGCTGCAGACCTTCCACCTTGCGTTTGTATCGACTATGGTATCGAAAGGCGACCGTCCGAGAAGCAATGGCAAACTACTCGACGTAAATTTGCCTAGAAAAACCACAACAGCCAAAACACTGATGTGGTTATTTATTCAACGTACTGTAAAGTAATGTCATCTAACTAACGTTGGTTGACAAATCGACCCAGCAAAAGATAGTTAGAAGGCAATTCTGGAAAGTAAAGGCGAGAACTGTAATATTCTCAAGTTTCCATCAGACTATTGAGTTTTAAGACTATCCCTACATGCTAGATGCAACGGAGGCGAGAAAACTGTTTACTTAATGACACAACATTAATAACATGGGTAACGTATTGAAACACATGAAGCTAGAACAATATAAAAGATAATGTGTAAACCTTTGTTATTGCTAGGAAACGTGCACTTATGATTTAAAATACAATTTTGCCTATAGCCAAAGCAGAACACCTGACAAATAGCACCGTGGAGAGCAACATGATGATACTGAAGTTACTCTAGTAAAGACACATGATGATGTTGCCGCCATTACATGTGGAAACAAATTGTGACACGGATGCTGTTACACGTAGAAATATAACTGATGATGATTATGCTAAGGTGGAAATACATATTTTGATGCTGCTGATACTACAGTATCATTTAACGCCGGAGTCGCATGTCTTTATAAGGGTTGAACCTAATGAACCAAAAAGATGCTGTGAAGTAGTTTGTGTGCTGAGATGTTTGCTCGCATTGGTCTAGGTGGTATCCCGTAGCTCCAGTAAACATCCAACCTACTTCTGGGGCGGGGCTACTCAAATTATGGCACTACTGAATCTATAATTATTCCTCGGTGCAACTGTGTCTGACTTTTCCACTACTTAGAACCCCCCAGACTAGATAGGAATCCGAAACTAGTCAAAATAACACAGTACAGTACATAATATAAAATAGCAATACCACACTCATTTCAGCTAATTTAAAGAATTGCAGTTATTTGACATTTACCACTGAATGAAAAATAGCAATAAATGATGTAAAAAGTAAAACACAGATAAAAGCAAAAAGGAATGAATTCAGCAAGACAAAAAAATATCTCTATGGATCGGAAAAATGTCTATATTATACTAACTCCTAGTTTTCCAATTCAAAAGCAACTATCATCGCGGCACAACTGATTTACTATGGACTCAAGTGACTGGCACTAATTATTATGGGTAACCGCAATCACTGACCACCACAACTTATCTGTCTAGGAGGTTCTGCTCATCTGGAGTGCAGCATCTTCCCAAAGTTGAGAGTGAGGATGGTTGAAGCTATGCAGATTCGGGATCACTTGTGATATAGTCAGTACAGGTCTGGTGCTGACAGCACCTAATAATACACACACGGGAGAAGGTTCCCCTTTATAAGTTAAAGTTCAGTTTAGTTCATCTACCCTCTAGGTAGGGGCAATTATTGGCAGAATATATTAAGTTGCTGGGTTGAGGACACTAGCTGATGGTGAACATCAATTAACAACTGACAAGTGATCTGTCCTGCAGACTCAATCATTGTAATGGGCCTGAGTAAGGTTCTCCCTGGGGATGCTTCGCAATACTTGCTGTATCTTGGTCCTACTTGATGCAGTGGAGGACAGTGATTGTTGACTTGCCCTCCAGAGAGGTGAGTCCCATCCTGTGACAAAGAGGGAAACCAGAGTTAGCTAAACACTAAACACGATACCCTGTTCACCACCCATTAACACTTACTCTAATTATAGGCTCAGACGTCTTTACTAGTTTGTGTGTGTGTGTGTGTGTGTGTGTGTGTGTGTGTGTGTGTGTGTGACCTATCAGGTCCATAAACACAATTTCAATGTCATTAGCAGTGAGGTTGGAAAGGAACTATATTCTGTCTAATACTACTCACTAGTGGCATCTATAGTTTACATTTGCCAACCAACAGAGGGATAACACCATTTCCTTTCCATGATAGGGTATCTACACTCACTCTAATTACCACGGATACAAGAATATATATGTATGGAAAGTGTAACAAAAAGACCTAACCAAGTCAATAAAATTAAATATGTGGGAACAATCATATCATCAGATGAAAAATGTGTTGACAGAGACTTAAAGCAGAATAAGTCAAGCGAAAGCTGCATTTCAGAAAGAAAAAAATCGTTTGCGATAAATCGCTTATATTTAATGCCAGAAAGAGTGTGCTGAAATGTTACAAAGAACTTGTTGTGCTGTATGGCAGCGAATCTTGGAACATCACTGAACAAATTAGGAAATATTTGGAAGCAACAGAGATGTGGTTTCTGAAACAAATGTAAACGAATACTGTAGACGGCCAGAGTAACTATCAACAATTGCTTGAAAGAGGCTAATGAAAGTAAATCTCTATATGCAACAATCAGAAAAGGACAAACACTGTTCTTTGACCACATAATGAGATGAGAAACATTGGAGAACATCGTGACAACTGGAAAGATCAGTGGGAAATGGTGTAGAGACTGACCAAGAGAGACAATGCTGGATGGGCTAAAACGATGACATAGAAGGATATCATCAAGAGACTGTTCCAGTCAGCCAGGGAGCGTGTTCTGTGGAGACGCATGAGCGCCTACGCCAGTTGGCAGGGTACATGATTATGATGAAGGTGTAACAGCATCAGAAACACTATACACCATTCCCACAGCCTCTGAAGCCGTTGCTTCGTCTACATACTGTCCTAGACGGACGTGACGTCATACACACCCCCTAAATCCCGCCAGAAACAGCCCAGTAACTAACCGCTAAGTTCAGTCTTGATCTGCTTGTTTCTTCTCCATTTAAATGGTGTATACATACATATAACAAGATCAAGTCATAATAAACCGCAGAGACATTACGCCTAAGCTGTCTGGTGATCCCTGCAGGAATCCGATGGCTGTAATTCACCGGCATGTAGGTGAAAAATCAGTTAGGCCTTTCCCCGCTGTATGAGCTGTCGATTGACTATTTTGGTTGTAGTCTCATGACTGCACACTCCTCACTGTCAGCAGCAGGGCACAGTAACTTTATTTAAGTTAATTATGCACACTCACCCGTGATCTATGGAAGTTTTGGATGAATCAGAAACTGTCCACAAGGAGATATAGCGGTTAGACAAGTAAGGCGTCGAGCTGTCCGCTAGCTAATGAATGTTGCCTCTATTGACCTATACAATCACTTACCCAAGAGTGAATATATATAGTAACTCATCCACAATAGACTTATGATAGAATACAATACTTGTATCATCCGTTAACCACAACATTAGCAAAGAACGATAATTTCTTATGTAGACAAGTCCAAGTTTTGAAAATGGTTCATTTACGTAGAGGTGTGCAAGATGAGGACACGTTCAAAAGCGGAGGGGTGTTTTGTTAATGATGATGGTGGTGTTGTAACTGTCGGGAAGACATGATGATCGTGCTACAATAGTAAAAATGACACATAATGATGATGATGCTGTAACAGGCAGAAAAACACAGGCAATGTATGCAACAACTGTGGGAAAGACATGTGGATGATGATGATGATTGAACTGTAGGAGAGACACGAGATGATTCTGAAGTAGGTGCAAAATATTGTCCCAAACACACATCATATAGCACCAATGTGTTTCTGGGTATTAAACGTGCTTTAGTAAGATCAGTAAATAAACACCCGCCTATCTCATGTAGCTACGCGTCTACAACACACTTTATAACAAATGTAGAGGACCATTTTTCAAGCCTTCAGTCTTTTCTGTCATATAGTGCAAGACCTGTGATGAAGTCAAAATCACACCATCCACCTTGATTTCCCATGACTTTACCATACTTCTATTAAAGGCTGGTTCGATCTGAGAGTCACGGTTTTGTCAGAAAGAATAAAAAGCCGGTCCCTTTTGAATTTGAAACCACGGTCTTTTGATCCCCAGTGTTGCGTTCAGCAACTACCCCACCGCGGTGCAGCCTTTAATAACAATAAACCAGAACATTTATTTTAAACATTTGTAGTGAATCATCTGGTTGTGTATAATGAACTGTATTATCGGAGTTAATCAGCCAGTAAAGTGTAATACGGTATATCTAGTTACTCGATAATCATCCGTCATCCTGAAACAGCAGACATTGTTTGAGGGTTTTGAATTTTAGTGTGAATGAAAAAACACACACATTCATAGACCATACTGCCAGGGAAAACACATTTTCTGGCTTATCAGAATAAATTATTATAAATTATGCAAATGTTCCCCTAAAGGTTTGCTGAAACCAGATGCCAGATATCACACTAATATTGAATAAATGTCCAGTCTGCACGCTTATTTTTTACATTACACATTGACCATCTAGGAGCAGCGGCTGAGAACTTATTGTAACACACAGAAGGTATATCCTGTTTGAAACATTGTTCGATACATTCATTCAATGTCACACTGCTCCATGTAAAATTGCTTTATGTATACATTTAATAATTTTGTTTTTGGTTGTAATGCACCATTTAATTGTTAACAGGCACATGTCTTAGCTACTGCACTAGATGTGGGGCCATACCCATCAAATATAGCGCCCTATGCCCTCCTGACTTCAGACGTTTCTAGTAAGCGATATCTTTAGTAGATGCGAGTTTAAATCCCCTACAATCCAGATCCAGATGAAGACTGAGACAGCTGTGTGGGCATAGTCGCTGGTTAAATATAGTCTAAGATTGACTCGTGACATTTAATCCAACAGGGTATCAACAAGAGATGGAAAAAGTCGTTTACAGTTCTGGATTATCTTTTTGTACGTAGACACAATTCTAAACTGCAGGCTGCCTTCTCCAACAGTCCCATTCTGTTCAAATAAATTAACACCCACTAGGTGTCATAACTTTTGTAAGCTGTCAAACTTCGCGCTCACCTAGCAAAGGGAAGTCATAGTAACGAGTAAACTTTACGTAACTATAGGAACATGTTTTTGTTTTTCAGTCAGTCAAGCAAGTCAGTTGCTGTGATAGTTACATGATGATATTATTATTGATTTAAAAATCAATGAGCTGATGTAATCAATGATTAAGCAACGAATAGGTTGCTGGGTGATGCTGTAATTATAAATAATCGCAGATCTTTACTTGTGATTGAAATGACAAGAAACTACTTGTAGACAGTTCTTCACATCTTGCTATACTGGAATGAGGTTATCACAACTATGTGCCCACTCACTGAGGACAGTAAAAAAGCCCATGCTCCTGTGAGAATTGAGATGAAATAAAGCATGTGTAATTTATGTACCTATACCGCTCAAGCAATATTTTATTTTATGTTGTTTAATGACATGCATACTCGCCATATATCCCCCGTCTGTCTCTCACGCACAATTTCTTTCCTTCTTCCATCTGTTACTGTGATTTTCTTGATGAAACTGTCTCATACGGATCATGTCTTAACAACTCGATTCCTTTACAAACTGTTCTGTCATAGCAGTCGGCGAAAGTATAATGTCGACTCACACACAGACTGTAATAAACTGGAGTTTTGCACAAAGGGTGGTGTCATATTAAGAGCAGCATAAAAGGGTGTTTGCTAGCTGTTCAGGAGAGCAGTGGTATGTTTGTCTATACTAGACTAGCAATAAACTTCTGACCTGTGCGTTACCTGTAAATAACACAACCTTCCCACACATGATTGTGTGTTCTGTTAGTTATACTAACAATTCAGTATACGAATAAAAACATCACGAATGACATGCAAACAAACGTGGAGGGTGAAAACACTAAATGGTTGAAACATGTTCAAGGACTAAGAAATATTGTTATAATATCTAGTAAAGAATAAGGTTAGAAGAAAAGAAAATATAACGAAGACCATAAAACCTCGATAGAATGCACAAAAACTAATAATAACATTTATCCTTCGCAGAATTATTTATAGGAATATGTGTTAGTGAAACAGAACAGATGGTAGGTTTTACCTAAAACATACTCCCTACAGCCTCCCGGTAAAGTTATAGGTCTGACTGAGTACAGCTAAGCGTTACTGATGGGTCCTGTGATTTGCCTGTTTTCTCAGCACGGCAACTTGAATTATAGTTTTCTTTTTTTTTTTAATTCAACACGATTGTATGGAACCATTCTCATGAAACAAAATTAATGATACTTATCTTAGAGCCATACATGTTAACGGTGCATAGACAGTTAATTCAGTGAGTTCAAAACGTACATACTATTTTGGAGTGATCATGATGTACGCTCACACCATCTGCATAGAATAAAGGCCGACTGGTCCCTGCCCCATGGGGAACTGGAAGATAAAAACGAAAACAGTATGTTTGGCAATCTCTGATCTTCTGTCCTTAATCCGCTAAGTTATGAATTCTTCCCCTGTGATGTTTCAATGACTAAGCTCCGCTCTAGCGATTACAGTTTATGCTGTCGTATCACATAAGCTCGGCGGTCTTCTGGCAGCTTGCTCTACTGGCCGTCAGTTCGCGGGTTTGTGCGTTCTTACTTGATGCTGGACTTCTAAGATGCCAGCCGGTATGAAATGTCTGATTACGGGCCTGGTCTTGCCAAGCTGGTTGAGTCACTTGTTCACAAGTTCACGCGATTCCATCTGAACAGAAAAGTTGTATTACTCTTTAATCATAGTTTGCTTCGCTGGTTCAACGGTGCTAAATTCAGTTAGGATTAGGATAAAGACTTTGTATTCTACTGTTGTATGTGCTCGAAATATAAATTAAATGTTCCTGAGTCATTGAATGCGACTCGCGAACATTGCATCCTTCCGTGTCCTACTTCTTCTTCTCCTCTTCACTTCCTCTTTTACCGCTGTGGGTGTCGAAGGAGATATAAGGTTCTGTTTCTAGCTCTTCTGGCCGCCTCGACCATAGGCGTATCGTGCTGTTGTAGAGTTTATCAGATGTTATCCTTCCATCTTGTTCTTGGTCTACCTCGTGCTCTACGCCCTTTTTCTCTTTCCATGTATGCTTCGTATTATATGGTGTCACAAGGCATTCTCTCTAAGTGTACAAACCATTTCACTTGCTGTCTTTGTATGTAATTTAGAATTGGTTCTGTGCCGACTTTTTCTCTTATGATCTCATTCCTGATCATATCTCTTATGGTTAATCCTACCGCCCTTCTCAGACATATCATTTCCATGGTTACTAATTTTATTTAATGGTGTGTTGTGAGTGACCATGTTTGGCACTGGTAGCACAGAGTTGGAATAAATATGCTTTGAATAAGATGTCTCTTTGTGCTGATTGGGTTTGTCTTATGCTGTAAGAGGGAGGCAAGCTGTCCCAATACTTGGTTTGCTTTACTGCATCTAATGGTAATTTCTTTATCCAATTTCCCATCTTCGGTAAATGTAGATCCCAGATATTAAAACTCAGATGCCTGTTTAATGCCTTTGCACTCTATTGCTATGTTTAGATCTGTCTTCTTTTTTCCTATTGACATTACTTCTGTCTTTTCAGTGTTGATTCTCATATTATTTGTTTTACATTCTTCATTCATGGATGTTAGATGTTGTTGCAATTTCATGTCTGTTTCTGCTATCAAGGCCTGGTCATCTGCAAAGAGTATTCGTTGATCTTACTAACATTTTCATGCATGGGCTTGGCATTCTTGCATATACTGTCGATGCAGGTAAAAAAAGCAGTGGTGATAAGACACACCCCTATCTTACTCCAGATGTTACTGTGAATGGATGAGATGTTCCCTGATTTATTCTAACTACAATTCTACAATCCCTGTATAAACATTTGCACACTTCGATGAGGTGTTCGCTTACTCCATATCTGCGTGTCCTACACCTCCCTAAAATTTGCTGTCAAGGGCAGTAGCAACAGTTTTATTATTTTGTTTCTGTGATCTTTATTAGTTCATTACACATTCCTTTCATGTATTATTTAGGTAGCTTGATTTATACAGTTACAATGCCTACATTACAGATGAAATACGTGTGCTTTCTTGCGGCTTGTATGGCTGTAGCCCTTGCATCTCCAATGACTAAATCTGTCGTGGTCGATAAGATACCTGACGTTCTTAGGCGCAGTGACACTGATGGAGCTCCTCAAGTTTTTGACGGTCCTCCAGAAGAGTTCCTCGGAGGTGGTTATCTGGATGGTCCTGCTGAAGATTGGGGAATAAATAGACCTCCTCAAGTATTTGACGGTCCTCCAGAAGAGTTTTTCGGTGGTGGTTATCTGGATGGTCCTGCTGAAGATTGGGGAATAAAAAGACCTTCTCAAGTTTTTGACGGTCCTCCAGAAGAGTTTTTCGGAGGTGGTTATCTGGATGGTCCTGCTGAAGATTGGGGAATAGTTAAACCTCCTCGCGATTTTGACGGTGCTCCAGAAGAGTTTCTCGGAGGTGGTTATCTGGATGGTCCTGCTGAAGAGTGGGCAAAAAATAGACTCCCAGAAAAAAGCCAACTGTCTGCTAATGATGTCATATACATAATTTATGAACTCGTCACTTCCTTTTTTGAGAAGCCTGCAGAGGAAAAATGAACAGTAAGTTTATATATATATATTCTAAGTCATTTGACACATGATAGGTCTGTCTGTGTGTGTGTGTGTGTGTGTGCTTGTATTGTATCAGTAAATGCATGCACACTGAATATGATGACGCTAAAGGGGGTGGGGGGGGGGGTTTAAGATGGGAAATACCCCAGTCTTTAAAAAGAGTAGTTGTAAGGGTAAGAATAGAACGTTGTATTGATCACCTGCTGAGACGATGTAACTACAGCCTCTAAAAACCAATACCGAGGTAAAATGAATGAGGAGACGAAGTCTAGAAGACAACGCTAATGACGAAGGTTAGTGCCAGAAGTTAGATATCCCTGCATTGTACACTATACATTGGGCATACTGTTAGCATTGACTTCATGGCGTAAATACGATTGTCGTGTAACCATATGTTGTATTTTAGGAGTGAAGAAACAAGAAGAAGACACGGACTGAAACCAGTCATTCAATTTATTAAACAACAACAAATGTGAGGTTTGGCCACTTGATGAGAATGCCCTGGTACTAACAGCCATAGGGAACGACGCTGAAGAAATAAAATAAAGACAGAGCAAGAGGAAGACCACTTAAGATATGAAGCAACATCATCAGAAGCAACCTAACATAAATGAACACCAGCTTGTACTATGCATTGGAAATAGCGCACAAACGATCCTTACCTTCCCCCCCCCCCCCCCCCCCCCCCCCCCCCCCCCCCACACCTCGATGAGGTAAATGGATGGTGAAAAAGAAGAAGAAGTATTAAAGCGAGTATATTTCAATGCCTCTATTTAGCGATGCAGTCAGTTTGTGTGAAGTCAATTTACTTCTAGGTTGTGTACAATTTCAAAAGGATTGCATGTGATATAATAAAACGAATTATTTACTATATTCATTACATCACATCGACTACGAAGTCGTCTAGTGGCCATCCAAGAGGTGACCCGAGGATATCCAACCCAGACTGAACTACAGCTTTTTTAACTTTCGGGTGGCATAATATTGTTGTGTTATGTGGTAGAACCGAGTTTCTGGAATTTGTACCTGTTTAAATCACACCCTTAAGGTGGGAAATCCTACAGACCCATCGTGGAAGAGACAAACTCTATAGCCTACCCTGTTACATGGTTAGGCAGGTATGTCTTGGGGGCCATATGGACTTTCCCGCTGCTCGCCGTTTGAACAACTTTGCTATCGACATAAAGCAGACAGCTAAACAAAACCTAACACATTTTAAAACATTTTTCTTGTTTGTTTCAGGGCCATAGAAGAACCGTGTCTGTCTACACTGGTGACAAACGACTGGCCTTATTATTCAGTGTACACTGATGGCTCCTTCCATCTTACAAAGTGAATAAAATTTTAAAAGATATGCTGCCGCGATGTGTTATTCTTTTCTCGTTCTTTAACCCCACCAATAAATGTTGACAGTGCATATCTGCTAACGTATCTCGAGGAGTTTTTACCTCAGGCGAGTTAAGAAAAAACGTCTCAGCAGTCCTGACATTCCCATAGGCGTTCCGTTTTCACCCTCAGCAGCCAGCACAGAGTTCGTGTTCCAAAGGTCATGTAAGATTCTTACTGTATGACCACATTGTATATTCTCTGAGTGTTAAGTAACAGACACATTCCTTTGTCGCTCACCGCTAAAATTTTCTTAAACGTTAGCGCAGTCGATAAGAAGCTCGCTTTCAAATCCAGCTGCGACTCGCTGCAGCCCACGGTCGATGTTCGAAACCGGGCGGCTCCCGGGGTTCACCTAGCCTCTAGGAAATGGGTAGCAGAGTTGACACCCTGGGGTAAATGGAGGAACGTCGCTGTAGCCACAGAGTTACGTGGGAACGACGACACAGGCGTAAAATTCTTATCAGCTGTCCGTACTGGAGGCAGAACACTTATGGTTTACAACCGTGTGCAATGACGCTGGTTCACATCTCCGGACTTTACCTTTACCTTTACCGTTCTTTTCAGGCTTTGATGAATCGTGTCTTCTTCTTCGCGTTCACCGGCTGTAAATTCTTTCGAAAAGTTCTCGTTCTTTGTCCACCTCTGGTCTTTAGTCTTGTTCCAGAACCTGAGTGTTGAGTGCGCATCTGTTTTACAGATCTAACACACGTGTATGTAGATTGTTGGTTCCTTGCCTCTCAGGCAGAGGAACTCAGACACCTAAGGGTACATTATGTGTGCTCAGGTATCGTTCACTGGCTCCGCAATGACCTTGATGAGATTAGGCTTCCAGAGCATCAAATTTGTTATAGAGGGTGAGACGAGGGCAGTGACAGTTGAATTTCTGTAGCGCCTTAAATCTATGATTGATTCAAATTTATTATTTATGATTTGTCTCTCGATTGACGTGATCTCTCTCTCTCTCTCTCTCTCTCTATATATATATATATATATATATATATATATATATATATATATATATATATATATATATGTGTGTGTGTGTGTGTGTGTGTGTGTGTGATTTTGGTTAATTTTTAAGACAAGTACAAGTAACGTTTTGGTTATCAAAAACGGAGTGACTTCCCCTCCCATGTATGCCTAGTTGGGTCGCATGCGTCTTTTACTGTCAGCCTCCAAAGAAGTTTCTTTGCAGCAGATCTCTACCAAGTGTTTGTGTCACTGTTGATATATTATATGACGCGTTTGCAAATGTCACCATAGTGCAGAATTAGCCTTTCTTACAGTCGTTCTCTCTGATGCTGAAGGATTAATGAGGTCTTTTTTCTTGTAGGATAGCCATGCCTACAGAGGCGCACGCCTGGGTTTGTTAAATTGATGTACAGGCTGTTACCAGACAGCAGGTAACAACCCTTCCTTTCCCCATCTCTAAGTAGCCAGCAAACATCACAGAGTGAGCTTGGTACCGAAAATGTTACAGGAGTTGCTGGAGCACCAGTTCAAACACACTTGGATCCCTTTATGGATTCCTGCTCGAGAGAATCCTTTACGGTTTACCACTAAAGCGCTTGCCCTAGATAGGGTATTGACACAAGACAGTGAAGGTTTGAGATCAGAGTGTTCCCTCTCTAAGATGAACTGCAATCCCAAGCTGACGAGCATCATCTGCTACATATTTTTAAAGCTGGGTTTCTCTTTTCCTAGATGAGCTGCATCTGGTTATAGCGCCAGAGATCCCCTTTCGCCTCTTCTTCAGTCTGTTTCAATAGTGCCGCAGTGAAAGTGCCAAGAGTGTAATCTTACTGTCAAAGGCTCAAAGAGACGCACTCGTTGAGGGTGTTTCGTGGGGACAAAGATCCTTATCCCAGCCACACCCTCAGCTCAACAGCTTTTGGAGCTATATTTCTACATAATTAGTCACCCATGTGGGAAGAGACACATGCGCACAACAATATCCAACATGGCGACACACACTGAAATTCGTTTTACGAGCTGTTATCCATTTCTTGACAACCTAATGACTTGTACCCATCGAAATGCGTCAAAGAATGAGAACAGTATATAATGATGACTGTGTGAATGTCAGTTCTGCTGAGAATAGCCCAGCGAATGTAAAACGTAACAGTACAGCATTGATAAGACTGCATGGCTAAAGCTACGGTGGATGAAAAACCACAAGCATGCTTCAAAGAACTGATTTATAGCAATCGCAGCATCAAGCAGAAATGTGTCACAACTTTGCTTTGAATTGTGATTGTGTATCACAGTATTCATGCTATGCTTGGGTATAGGACAATTTGTGCAAGATGGGTTCCTTGTGTGTTGACATCATAAATAAAACAGCGTCGACTTCGGGTGTGGAAGAAAGACATAACGCTTTATTTGCAGAACTGTCACTGTCGACGAGTCTCAGGTACATCATTATGATCAAGAAAACAAGCTATCTATGGACTCCAGGCACTGAGAACTCACCCAGGCCCTAACATTTTCAAGGTGGCCACGTCGGCAGGAAAGGTTTTAATGACGATTTTTTGGGGACTGCCAGGGTATAATCCACGCTGAACGTTTACAGCATGGCAGTACTCTCAACTCTGATTGCTATGTGGAAACGTTGCAGAAGCTACATTCTATATTATCCACTCTCTTAGTCTGTACGGTGTGGATGATATCTGCTCTGTCCATGTTTCTCTTTGCGTTGGTGCTTTGCTTACCAACTAGAAAAAAAAAATTATCCTCGCAAGCCACATTGGACACCAGATTCAAACATAGATGTATGCAGCTCTGAAATAATCTGACAGGATAGTCACTAGCTTGATATTTTAGCAATTGTAGTTACCCGAAGTTGTTACGGCTGCACCAATGCGATTACAATGGTAACAGAATAATACAATAAATGTTCAAAAGTGAGTGAACAGTGAAGAGGTACAAATAAATCATCACGGTGTGGGGAAATTGGTGCAACAGTCAAGGGACATGAGGGATGGATATACTGTCCGACGGTTACTCAGTCATCAGAATCGCAACTCTGCGTTTGCTGCTGAAGATGGGGATGCAACGCTAATAGAATTGCCCCGAGTGTTGTGATGACGATCCTTAATTTACAGATTAAAATGCCTAAGTTGAAAAAAAAGAAAACTAAACTTCAAAGTTCTTTTTTGTGTTGTTGGATAGTTATTGTTGCTTCTGTTCTTGTTG